GCCTGGGAAGACCGACACTGGGGCCACCCCGACACAGGAAACTCCCTCCTCCCTGATCTCAACCTCTGAAGTTGGTGTTTTATTCACACAGACCTCCTGAACTCTCAGCAGGGCTCAGTGGATTAAATGTGTTAAGAGGCCTGGCAGCCATGAATAATAGCAGAAAGGACTATAAGGAATTGAGTCCTCAAAGCCAGGCGCCATGCTCCATGCTGTAAGACTGCCCACTCTGGCTGGAGAGATTGTTTAGCAGTTAAGAGCACTTGTGGCCATCCTGGAGGGCTCACACTTGGTTCCCAGCACTGCCACGGCAGCTCTCCACCGTCTGTCACTTCGGTTCCAGGAGGTTCAATACCCTCTTCCAACTTCTCAAGCACCAAGCATGTAGGTGGGACACACGCATACACACAGGTAAATATTCATATGTAGATTCTGAAGGGCTGGTTTTACTGGGACCCCTGTTTTGCAGGTGAAGAAACTAAAGATGCAAAGAGTTTGGATGGCTTTCCCGAAATTACTAAGCAAATTCTAGAGCAAAGGTCAACCCCCCCCACCCCCCACCCCCGCAGCCTAACTCTAAAACCCATGACCTTGGCCTCTGTGTGGACCCAGGGTCAGGGGATACAGACCACTTTGGGGTTATCAGATTAGGTGGTTTGTTGTGAAATTGTTTTGATTGGTTGTGGCAGATTCCCAAATTGCCCTTGAAACTTGTGGCAATCCTCCTGTATCAGCTTCTCGAGTACTGAGGCTACAAGCCTGTCCCCATGCCTCTGCTTCATAGGTAAATCAAAGGAGGCTGAGGAAGAAGTTAAAATGACTTGATGCAAGCAGAGACAGGATTTGAATCCACTCTGACCAGATTAAATGTCTCTGGTAGGGCACAGTTTACTTCTCCCAAGACCTCGCCCAAGCTTTCGGGAACAATCTTTCTCTGTAGACATCCTCGATACCTCACAAATGACTTTTTACATGCGGGAGTTGAAACGGGGTCTCATTTGACACAGACTGGCAAAACTTGCTGTGTAGCTAGAAATAACTTTGGATTTGTAATCTTCCTACCTCTGCCTCCTAAAGTCTCAGATTACAGACCTGAACAACCATACCCAGTGGGCAGCTGTGGGCTGCCGATCGTCAAAGCAGAATGTGGCAGCCCCCCTTACCCTGTAACTTAAAATCAATTGAGGGTCCCAGTTCCCAGGGTCTCTTTGGCTTCCTGCTGATGCAGGCCCCTCCCTCCACCTGAAGCCTCTGGCAAAGTTGTTTCTCGGACAGTCAAAGGCCACTCCTGTTTGTAACCTCCTGGGACAGAATGGTCACTCTTGCCTTGAGATTGGGGACTTGCAGCTTCAGAAATAAGGACTGGTCAAGAGATTTCTCATCCTTGTCTCCTGGCAAGAGCCACCATCATCACTCACTCCCTTACTCTCCATCACTCATGCCCTTGCCCATCGGCTGGCATCTGGCTCAGTGCAGCGGCCTCACAATAAGTCAGAGATGTGACAGATGCCATTAGTATAACCTTTCCATCTCTCCTCCCAGAGAAGGCTGGCATGGAGCACAGAGAGGTACAGAGTCAAGAGAGAATAGTTTTTTTGGTTTGTTTTGTTGTTGTTTTTGGTTTTTGAAGACAGGATTTCTCTGTGCAGCTGCTCTAACTGTCCTGGGAACTCACTCACTCTGTAGACCAGGCTGGCCTCGAACTCACAGAGATCCACCCGCCTCTGCTTGCCGGGTTGATTGGATTAGAGGCACCTGGCACCACTGCCCTGCTAGAGAGAATAGTTTCTGACTATGGATGTTGGGGGCTGTCTGGCCTTTATAGCTCACTCACTTGCTGAAGTCTTGGGGAACCCAAGTTTCTGTCTCCACAGAAAGGAGGTGGAAATTCCACCTGCACACACCCACAAGGCAGCACAACTCAGCATGGCCGGGAGCTCTGCTCACAGCATTGTTAGCTATGGGAGTGGTTCTGAATTCCATGAATACAGGTGAAAGATACTTTGAAATTGCAGACCCCCTGCTAAGCCAACTTCCACATGTGGCAAGCCAGGGGTTTTGGGAAATACACCTGACTCCAGAACTCGGGAGTTGGAGGCAGGAGGGTCAGGAGTTCAAGGCCAACTTGGGTATGTAGAGGAACTGGAGGCTGTGAGGATACAGGAGCCCCATCTCACAAAAGCCTCAAAACAGTAATAAAGCCTTCCACAAAATCAAAATCCAAACCAAAACACATTCCCTAATAGGATGTAGTAAGGACCAAAGACTGGACTGAGGGGCCCGAAAGATGTTTATGCACAGGGACAATGACAACATAACGGCTGTGATATGGTGTTCCTGGAGTGACTGGCACTCATCTCCCGATGCTTCTGCTCAGCGAGGCGCCCCTGCCTAATCCCACCTCTCGTGCACCGCAGCCGTGGCATGGGAAGGAGACACCTCACAACAATACTGTTAGCAAGGCCTAGCTGTACGTGGTTTTGTTTCTTTTTCATGAGTTCACCTGTGCATTTTTCACATCTGTGCAAATGTGCATGGATGTGAATGCACACACTTAGAGAACGGAGGTTAACCTAGGACGGTTTGGTTTTGTTTCGTGGGTTTTTTTGTTGTTGTTGTTTTTGTTTTAGGTTAGGATTTTTTTTTTTCTTTTCAAGACTGGGTTTCTCTGTGTTACAGCCCTAGCTAGCTATCCTGGAACTACTCTGTAGACCAGGCTGGTCTCAAACTCACAGAGATCTGCCTCTGTCTCCCAAGTGCTGGGACTAAAGGTGTACACTACCACCTCCTGGCTGTGAATGTTCTTTCTCTAGACACTCTGGGCTTTTTTTTTTTTTTTTTTTTTTTTTTTTTTTTTGACAGGATCTCTCCCTAAGACCCAGGGGTGGCTGATTAGACTAGACTGGAAATATAGTTTCTTTTCCTATTGTTGTGGTAAACATTCAGACAGAAGCAACTTAAGTGCAAAGACACATCCCTCTTTGCTGGGGAATTGGAGGCAGCAGATGCTTGAAGCCTCTGGTCCTATTGAATCCGAAATCGGGATGGAGGAGACTGATGAGTGTGAAGGGCTGCTTAGCTCCTCCCCTTGTTACTTTACTTTCTGTATGTATAGGTTTTGCCCACATGTGTGCCAGTAGCCAAGGGGGCCAGAAGAGGGTGTTGGATCCTCTGGAACTGGAGTTATAGACAGTTGTTAGCCACCGTGTGGGTGCTGGGAATCAACTCAGATTCTCTAGAAGAGCAGTCAGTACTCTTTTAACTGCTCAGCCATCTCCCCAACCTCCTGACTTAGAGTCCAGGACCTCAACCAGGACAACACATGGCTCAAAGTGAGAGGGTCTTTCCGCCTCAATTAATGCAATCAAGATATAGATAGATATATAGATATTTAAATTTTTAAATTAGCTGGGTTGTGGTAGCACACATCTTTAATCCCAACACTCGGGAGGCAGAGGCAGGCGGATCTCTGTGAGTTCGAGGCCAGTCTGGTCTACAAGAGCTAGTTCCAGGACAGGCTCCAAAGCTACAGAGAAACTCTGTCTCCAAAAACAAAAACAAATCACATGTTCTGCACAGTGGGTAGGAGAGTCCCAGAAGAAATAAGACATTCTCCAGTTCTGGAAGGTGATAGAGGCACTAACACTAAATGGAGGGACCAAAGCATGTATGGACACGTGTTCACCTTGGCTAGTGACACTTGGAACAGGCTCTGATCTGAGACCTGAAGCGCCAACATAGGAGAAACCAATAGCACCGCCTCCAACTCAGGGATCCACCAGCCTACTCTCCAGGTAAAAGTCCCAGGCTGCCTGGAGCAGTGTCCTATACTTCTCATTACGTTTCAGCTGGCACCACTGACCGCCCTTCTGCAGCTAGTGGAGAAGGAGGGCGTCAGAGGCGCCCCACCAAGTGGGGCAAGCGGTTTACTTTTCATTACCCTTCTACACAGACAATCCCAAGGCAATCCCAATTTCCGCCTTGAACTCCAAAGGCCCCCTTGCCTTACCTCTGGTTTGGGGCAGAACTCCAAGCTTTTGGCTCAAAGCTGCTAAGTGAATGACTGGACGACAGAATAAATGAAGACCATCTATGAGTGAGGTTGGCCACACCTCGTGCTTATTCTATGGAGATCTTCAGAAACACGTAGTTGATCGGTCAAGTTGGCCTCAGATAAAATCCCGGCCCTTGGGAGGATAATGCGGGAGAATAATGAGTTTGAAAATAGCCTGGACTGTAGAGACAGATTCTGTCCTTTAAAACCAGGAAGAAAGCAAAAGAAAGGAAGGGCAAGGAGAAAGGGCTAGGGAGAAAGGGGGAAGGGAGGAAGCTCCCATACTTGTCGAAGAAAATTCTAGCTGTTCCCCTTTCCCACCAGGGCCTGATCCCTCTAAGGGACCCCAGTATTTATTGAGCAGCTGTTCTGAACTGGGGAGACAAGCCACATAGCTCCCTCTCCACAGGCTTAATCCAATTCCCGTACCCCGTTCCCTCCATACAGTTCAGGGCCCTCCAGCCTTTCTTGTCCCGTATTTGAGTCTATTTGAGGCTGCTGAGTTAAGGGAGGGAGGAGGTCTCCTAGCCTCTAGTCCCAGTCTGCAGCCTATCCCAACGCGCGCCCCCCACCAGGGTTCTGTCTCAGTTAACCTTGGGACTGGTCCCAGGGAGGTAATACAACTCATAGCCCCTATCCACTGAGTCTCCTGGAACAACCTCAAATCTGCTTCTCCTCGCCCCGCCCCCCGCGGGATCCCTGCCCAAGGGTACCCTTCAGAGCCCACCACTCTTGGGCCTGCAGCGCCCTGGCCCCTAGGTGCCGGTGGCGGCGGGAGCTGCCAGCTTTTTGGAATTCCTAATCGCTCCTGGCCCCGGTGATTGGCTGTTCAGCTCTGACCCCACTTGGGCAGCCGCCTGGTTGGATAAAAAGGGAATCTCCTTGGGGCTCCAGAGCATTAGACACCGGAGGGGGCACCTGGGACCAACTTCGCGGAGCGGGGAGCCCGGCGGGGGGGTTGGGGGAGCAAAAGACCCGCGGCCTCAGCCCCTCCAAAGAACCGGGAGATGACGGGGAAAGCGGGGGAAGCGCTGAGCAAGCCCAAATCTGAGACAGTGGCCAAGAGTACCTCGGGGGGCGCCCCGGCCAGGTGCACAGGTTTCGGCATCCAGGAGATCCTAGGCTTGAACAAGGAGCCTCCTAGCTCCCACCCGCGGGCTGCCCTCGACGGCCTGGCCCCGGGGCACTTGCTGGCTGCGCGCTCCGTGCTCAGTCCGGCAGGAGTGGGCAGCATGGGGCTGCTGGGGCCCGGGGGACTTCCCGGCTTCTACGCACAGCCCACCTTCCTGGAAGTGCTGTCCGATCCGCAGAGCGTCCACTTGCAGCCGCTAGGCAGAGCGTCGGGGCCGCTGGACACCAGCCAGACGGCCAGCTCGGGTAGGTGAGGGCGAGGCTGCTCGCCTGCCACTCTGCTTGGGAGAGCCGCAGCCCTGCGCTGTGGGCTCTTGCCTGCGGGCCCGCGACCTCCCCCGGGAGGAAAAGTTCGTGCAGGCCAACAGATCTCAGCCCAGGCCTGGTGTCAGGGGGCCCCGGCCAGCGATCTGGAACTCAGGGTTTTCAAATTCAGCTTGTCCGACCCCAGTTCTTGCTCAGTTCTTGTGAACTAGTGTCTGGCCCTGCTCGATCGCATCTGTGGGTTGGGACCCCTCTGGATGCTGAGCTCCAGGTGGTCGAGTCCTTGTCGCATCATCTCCCAGGGAGCTTAGCTGGAGGGCCCCAGCTCTGTTGCTCCGCCCGTGGCCGGGGCCTACGCTCCAGAAGCATGATGCTACTCCTTGGGCTGGCGGGACAGGAAAGAGGGGCTGGCCCTGGCCCTTGCCCCTGTGTCCAAAGTTGTCTCCTTTTCCTCCCCTCCGTTCCAACCCCATGTATTGTTCAGCTGAGGTTCGGTGTCCTTCCCCTGCCACCTGGGAAAATAAAGCCACCAAGGCAGCCAAGGTGCATCCCTCAGATCCAACCGAAGCGGCACTCTGTATTGGATCCCAGTTTTTCTCTGGATAAGGGACCCTGGATGAGCTCCTCTTGGCCCTTTCAGGGCCACTTTCCCTGCGGTGTGTTCCAGCTCTTAGTCATTCAAATTTTTCGTGCCTTTGTTTATTATGTATTAAATGTAGAAGGGACAACGAAAAGTGGTTCCTTGCAGGCTCTCCGTACTCGAACAGAAAAACATTTCGTGGATGCCACAAAAGGGACAGCGAACCCGCAGTCTCCAGACCTTTCCAGAGCCTGATCTCCCCTCCAGCAGGCCCCCATTCCTTGGGTCAACTTTTCGACCTGGGACTTGGACTTGGCTGTTGCCGCAGGGCAGAGCACCAACCGGGGTCCCTGAGACCTCAGAGCCTACCTCATTCTCCCACGACCGGGCCAGTCACCGAGCCTGGGCCTTGGCCTTTCTTGCAAAGAAATTTGTTCAAAATTTCTGGCTTCAGAAACAGACCCGGGGAGGGTCAGCCCGGGCTTAGGGATGGGAATGGTCGCCCAGGCCCAGGAGGTCTTAGTAGAGACCACAGGCCCGCGCCACTCTCCTAGGCTGTGGAAGGTGGGGTCCTCACCATTTTTTGCGGCTCTGCGGAGCGCACTCCCCATTCTGCTGCCTGCCTCTCCGCCCGCTTTTCAGATTCCGAAGATGTTTCCTCCAGTGACCGAAAAATGTCCAAATCGGCTTTAAACCAGACCAAGAAACGCAAGAAGCGGCGACACAGGTAAGGGCCGCATGGTTCTTTCTTGCTCCCATCTCTAGCTTGCTTCTCCCGGACCGGGTCACTCAGATTTTGTTCCCTGCGGAGGGCAGATGTGAGGGCCCCGGCTGCACCAGGGCAAAGACACCTGCGTGGTTTGCCAGAGCCTGTCCTGGGGCCCTGGCACCCGGTGAGGTTGACTGAGTGTAAGCCGGAGCAGCCGCACCATTTCGGCTTTCTCCTTGTGCTGGAGAACGGAAAGACAAGTTGGGGGCCAGACCTGAGTTGGAACGGTGTCGGGGCGACTCCAGACCCCTGCACTGATCAGAAAGTCACAGACCCAGTGGGGAGCAGATAAACAAACTCCCACCTCCCGCTGGAGCCAGATTCGTGCAACCTCGGCTCTGGGCGCCCCTTTCCTCCTAAACCCCCCATGTCTTGCCAACTCTTCAGTTTCCGTTGCAATCGCCCCCCCCCCCCCCCCCCCCCCGCAAAACAAAACAAAACTCCCGGGACAGCTGCACTGCCGGACCTTTGCTTTCGACCTCTGCTCCTTTATGTTACCGAGCGGACCGCTACCCTTCCGTGAGCCTCAATTTCCTAGTCTGGCAGATGGGGAAGAAAGTGGATTGTCTGGTTCCACCTGCGGAGACCGGAGTTGGGTAGAATACACTGGTGGACAAACCAAGGGGAGTTGGTCAGCTCTAGGAGATTCGTGCATGCTTCTGGCCTTCCGGGGACCATGTGCGCAGACTAATAAACAAACACACACACTTATTTTTAATGTGAAAAATGTCTTTAAATAGACGTTGAGTGTCCAAAATTAAAGTTCAATGGTTCTGCCCTAAGAAGTATGCTCCCTCCCTTCACCCTGGGAGGGGGGCAGACTCATTCACGTCAGCGTCAGCATCAACACTAATTCGTTCCTAGTGGAAATCTTGAGGTGATTTTTTTATTTTTATTTTATTTTATTTTTTAAGCCAAGGAAGGCAAGAGAGACAAGCGACTAAGTTTCTGGGAGCGCGGTTCGCAGGTCGTGTCCCTGCGCTCCCCAGCTGGCCAGTATCATCACTTTTCTTTCTGTCCTGACCGAAGTCGGGGAGGCCACAGGGACAGTTCTCTGGTTTGTGGTCCCTTCGCAGCCTCTTCTCTCCCGAATTTGGTCTTAGTCTCTACATTTTCGCTCTCCCACCCCCACCCCAGCTTCTCCGTGGCTTGAATTTCCCTGGCTTCCCCCAGCCTCAAAGGTCATTACTGACTCTCTCTCCTGACCTCAGAACAGATTGTGGCTTAAGGGAACGTGAACTTCAGTTCGGGTCTCTCTCTCTTGCAGGCAGCTGCTGGCTTTAGCTCAGTTTGTTTTATTCTTCTCTCATTCCTGTTCGATACTATCCTGTGCATGTGATAGCTGGGGTGTGTGGGTGAGGGTGAGGGACATTCTGGAAACGGACCTCATGGTCCGAGATAACTGTGTGGAGTGGATAACTTCGTGGATTCCAGGGAATCTTCTAAGACTTGCTGCCCTGCAAGTGCCTTTACCTTAATGTTTAGCCAGCTTGCCAGACCAGTTTATTTTAAACAGAATTTTTTTTAATTAGTCCAGTCACTGGTCTTTAAAAAAAAATCCAACATCTATTAATTGAAACATTACCTATGCATCTGTGTCCGACAGGTCCTAAAGGAATCTTTTCCTGCCGGGACAAGATCAATGTGGTAGGGGCACTCTGCACCTGCCCTGGGGGTAGCATTGAGAGCCCTGGAGTGAGCACTCCCCAAATTCTGGGAGTGCTGGGAAGTGCCGGGAAGGCATTAGGGCATCTCACTCCGATGCCCACTTAAAAACAAGCGAGGTGTTTTTTGAGCTCAAGTCTGTACCTAAAGTCTCTCATTTCCTTCACCTGCCACCCTTATTAGCAGAGAACCATTCTGGGTATTGGTGGGTTGGGAGCCAGATAAAACAGCTCACCAAAGTCAGAGAACTAGCTACCCTGGGTTTCCGTCTATTTCTGGGGCATGAAGGTAGCAGATAATTGGGAAGAAGAATGGTTATGGATTTCAGGGGAGAGGATAGAAAAACAAAACACTTTCCTGAGCGTCTGTCGAGCCCCTGGAATCCGTGGTGGGAGATAGGCTTAGGAGAAACAAAGCAGTTTCAGCAGGACCTGAGATTTTGTTCTTGGGGAAAATGCGGATCCTTTTGCAAAAGATCCTGGGCTCTGCTGCGGCCAGGAACAGTTTAGGGTCACTGGGTGGGAGATGGGATCCTGCTGAAGAGTTTGCGGTCAGCAATAGGATGACCAGTTCTGAGGTGGGAATGAGAGAAAGTTGGGGGATTTGGTTTTGGTTTGCTTCTCCCTTCTCGCGCCTCTCTCTCTCTCTCTCTCTCTCTCTCTCTCTCTCTCTCTCTCTCTCTCTCTCTCTCTCTCTCTCTCTCATAGTCCTGGCTGGCCTGAACTGTGTTGATCAAACTGGCCTTGAACTTGCTGTGTTTTTCCTACCCCATTCTCCAGAGCCAGTAGCACAGAGCAAGCAGTCTCCACTGTGCCTGAATTTTGTTTCTTGAATGGGACTCTTCAAAGTACAGAAAGGCCCTTACTGACCCTAAATGATCCACAGTCAGCTTTCTTCTTAGTTATCATCTAAGTTTGATAATCTCTCAGGGATCTCCAGCAGAGACAAACAGAGAGCTGCGGATCTTCAAAATCCTGAAGAGTTAGCTTTTTTCTTTTTTTTTTTGTTTTGTTTTGAGACAGTTCCGGCTAGCCTGGTGTACACCAGACTGGCCTCTATCTAGCAGAAACCAGCTTGCTTCTGTCTCTGTAGTAGGATTAAAGGCATTACCACCACACCTAGACTACGAATTAGCTTTCTGTGAATATAAGCATTCCACATACCGCCATCAAGAAAATAGACAAAATAACTTAAAGCCAAACTAGTCATTTTCTGTAAGGAGCACAGCTTTCCTCTCCCATATGCCCTGATAATATCCCTGGTGATACTGGAGACCTTTCCATATTAACTCGAGAAATGAGGGTTATAGGTGCACCTTTTCTATGCACTAGGGAAGGGGAGGGCTTAGCAGGGAGACACTGTACATATAAACCCTGTGCTGGTCCCAGGATCCAAATCTCAGAGGATCAAGAAGGGACATGCCACTTTTTACAAGTTCTGTTCGTAGAAACTGGACTGTGGACTTGATGATGAGGGCGTAAGATAAAGGCCAGGTAAATACGGTGGGTGTAAAATCCTTGGGAAGAGTTTGCATCTGTAGTTCGGGAGTTCCTGGTTTACTCTAAAAGGGGGTTGTGAACCCCATGATATCTGAGGCTTGTTCTTTGTACCTTTTTCCTGGGGTGAGAGACTGCAGCTTTCCTCAGTTTCTTGTCATTTTTTTTTGTTTTGTTTTGTTTTGTTGTTTGTTTGTTTTTTGAGACAGGGTTTCTCTGTAGGTTTGAAGCCTGTCCTGGAACTAGCTCTTGTAGACCAGGCTGGCCTTGAACCCACGGAGACCAACCTGCCTCTGCCTCCCAAGTACTGGGATTAAAGGAATATGCCACCACCACCGGGCTGGAAGACTGACTTTCAGTCTTCTACAATTTTCTTCTTAACACACTTTCCTCCCAGCGTGTTTCCAGAAAGATTCTGAGTAAAATGTCGCTTAAGCTAAAGTAATGTCCACCACCCGGATAATGTGGGCCCTCTTCCCTGGATAAAGAAGTGTGACTATGTGTTCCTTGTGTATGTGTGTGTGTGTGTGTGTGTGTAAGAGAGAGAGAGAGAGAGAGAGAGAGAGAGAGAGAGAGAGAGAGAGAGGAGAGAGGAGTTGGCTGTGACCGAGGCACAGGAGAGAGATAGCCTGCTTTCTCCAAGGTAAGGCTCCTCTTCTGAGTTTCCGGGGTTCTGAGTTCTGATCTTGCTCCCCGCAGGACAATCTTTACTTCCTATCAGCTAGAGGAGCTGGAGAAGGCGTTCAATGAAGCCCACTACCCCGATGTCTATGCCCGGGAGATGCTGGCCATGAAAACGGAACTGCCAGAAGACAGAATACAGGTACCAGCTGCTAGCCTCTTCAGTCGCCTGGAGACATCTGTGTCCCCAGAGGCGGGTACCCATCCTCTCACCATCTATGTCCTTCCCTGGGGTAAAATCATTTGCCAGTGATCAGTAAAAAATAGTTTATCTAAGTCTATTAAGCTGACAGGAACTTGCTGAATACCTACCATGTAAGTGGACACCAGGTAGACGAGAGTCTTGGTAGATACTCGATACGTCCCACCTGCTCTCCCAAACAGTAGGCTTCCTGGGCTAGGGATGGGGATAGTTCAGTGGAGCCGTGCTTTGCCTAGCATGAGGGAGGACTCAAGTTCTATTCCCAGTCACCGCAAAAAAACCAAATCAAACCCCAAACCAAAACGAACAAAATGCAGATGGCAGACTTCCTGAGAGTACGTTGTGGTAGAACCATGAGGAGGCCTGGTGATAAGAGACAAAGCTGATTGGGGTGGGGGTGGGGAAGTGTCCCGAGCAAGCCTGCCATAGCACATGGCTGTTTTAAGACCAGAGTGAGGGCCAGGTGGTCATGGTGGCTGAGAAGAGGAAGCTGGCTTTTGCCTCTAACCCTAGTCAGCGTCTCCTCCTCACTCCTCCCTATGAAGAAGCCTTGCCCCCTCTCTTCTTATCCCTGGTCACTGTACCCAGCTGCAGCTCAGTGCTCTACTCATGACCAGGACCAGGCAGCCCTTGACCCTGCCCACACCTCCTGCTCAATACTTCTTCCTGGACTGACCCAGAAAGTGACTGGGGTACCCATGCCCTCTAGTGGGACTCGCCAAGCCCCTCCTCCTCTCCTGAGTGGTTGTGTGGTCGGTGTAACCAGCCACTTTTCTGGGTTGGTGCGCCCTCCTGTGGTAGGGGTGGAGGGGGGCTCCCAGGCACAGCATCTTCCCCAACCCAGAAACCCCAGGATACAGGAACATCATGAGGCCGGAGAACTGAGTGGGAAGAGCTGCTTCCAATTAGATCTTAGCCTCAAGTGCAAACTGCTCCAGGAAGGCGAGGAGGGTGGATTCCTGCAGCTCCAGAACTGGCCCTGGTGAGGGGATATTGGCGGGGTGGAGATCAGGTTCTGACTTCCTGCCGCTGTTGCCTGCCCAGCATCTTCCTCTCCGTCTCCACCGGAGGTTCTTTCTGCCAGCGGGTGGCCCAGGCGCGTTCTAGAGATGGAAGCAAAGGTTATGGGTTGTTCGGATTCTTCAACTAGAGCACCAGGGAATGGGAATGAGGCCAGGAGCTGCTTTTCCAAAAGAGATTTCTTTTCACGAGACATCCGTTCAGAATTTCAGCTCCAGGCTTTAAACATCGACACTAACAATAAACTCAATTATTCATAGGCAGCTTATGCTTATGGCGGAGAGCTGGGACTGTTCTCACCCAGCTGAGTTTTAGTGGGGGAGTCCTGGGTGTTGACTCTGAACTGTTTGTGTGTGCACACACGTGCATGGGGCTGGGGGTGCCCTGTAAACCTGGTTTATCCGGTCATCTCCACCCACCCTTCATTAGCGTCAAGTTGGCCATTACAAGCGGCTTCGAGGCCGAGGCCGTTGTTGACAGGCCCGTGTGTGCCCAGCTCGTTAGTAAGAAGGAGCCTCTGTCTCTCTAGTGTGCTATCTAGTCTCTGATTGGCTGTGGTGTGGTGGGCAGGTCTGTTGGAAGCCAGGACCTCCCTGTAACTGCGCTACACACGCTCTCAACAGGCCCAGGTTAGCTTTACTAAGTCACCTGGAGGTTGTCTATAGGGAGAGGTTTGAAGTCACCATAACCAGCACAGGGAGGAGAGGGCATGCATTGCTTTGGGACTGGGACTGTCAACTATGGATGGGCGGATATAGCAGAGATAGGTCAGAGTCTTGCCAGTCTCCTGGGCACCACATAGCTAAGTGCTGCCCCCTGCAGGAATTTATGAGCGATTAAGTGGTTTTGCCCCCAGCAATTTAACCATGCGGCTTAGGAAATGTCTTGATGTGTACTGGTAACAATTCCAGGTATCTCAGAGAAGTTTTCATGTGCCAAGGGTGTATACAGGCAATGCAGGATGACTTCGGGGGGTGGTGCCACTGATCCCAGAACCAGGCTCCTGGGTTCACAACCAGGTATCGCCTCCCGGAGCCTCCTTGAACTCACCGGATTAGAGCGAACAGACCCCGCCCCTTGTGCAGACGCAACTCGCTGCACGAGAGTGGACCCCGCCCCTTGAACTCCGTGACGGAGTTCAGAGCAGTGAGGGGCACGTGTCCACGCTCGCTCAGACTCGGCTCTGCTCTCATTAAATCTCGGTGACAGGGGTCAGGGTAGAGACCAATAGCCCTCCTTTAGAACTAGGGAAAGGGAGGTTGGCAGCTTCCTGCGCTCAGTAGCTAGAAAGTGGAGGTAACTAGAATGTGGCCGAACGTGGTCTGAAAACCCATCCTCTGCCGTGGGCTTCTTGTGTCTGAGGGCACTGAACCCACATTTGGGAGAACAAAGGTGGTTTGAAGTCTGGGTACGTTGACTGCGGAACTAACGGACAGTGCGGATGGTGGATGACTACCACCGTCCCTTGCCTGCTCCAACACTGGGCAGCAGGGGGCGATGTGCGTGTGCAAGTATGTGCGTGCAGCCAGGCGGTGGTGGCGCACGCCTTTAATCCCAGCACTTGGGAGGCAGGCAGAGGCAGGAGGATCTCTATGAGTTCGAGGCCAGCCTGGTCTACAAAGGGAGTTCCAGGACAGGCTCCAAAGCTACAGAGAAACCCTGTCTCGAAAAAACAAAACAAACCAAAAAACCAAAAAACAAAAAAACAAGTGTGTGCGTGCACGTGTATGCCTGTGTGTGTAAGAGACGGGGAGTCTTTAGAGTCAGGAGTTTACAGGTAGAATGGAGCAATGATTGCTTTTTTTTTTTTTTTTGTGGTGGTGGTAGCAGGAGGTAGAACTCACAACCTTGGCTGGGTGGTGGTGACTCACTCAGGAGGCTGAGGCAGAGGCAGGCAGATCTCTGTGAGTTCAAGGCCAGCCTGGTCTACAGAGTGAGTTCTAGACAGCCAGGGCTACACAGAGAAACCCTGTTTTGAAACAGCAACCACAACAAAAGAACTCACACCCTCTTTGTGTACTTGCCCAGCGCCCTACCCCCTGAGCTACCCGAACAGGAGGCATTATCAGGATCACCTGCCCCACTGAGCTCTGAGCTGCCTGCCCTTGATGGGATGGGAGCATGGGCCAACTAGAGTTCAGCAGTCCTAAGTAGGCAGTTTGGAAGCTTCACCCTTGCTCATCCAAGCCAAGTAAAGCCTCGATATATCTGAGACCTCCTGTCCCAGGCTGAGCCTCACACGACTCGTTTGTAAAAATAATAATAGTAGTATTTCCCCAAACTCTCACCTAGCTGACGGCATTGTGGTCTGAGCGAGGCCTCTGATGAATACTTGGCACCGCCCTAGGCGTTCAGTGCCTGGCATGCCTTGTGGTGTTTTGTCACTCAACACCAGATGAGTCTGGTGTTGATTTCATACCCATTTTCTGGATGAAGAAACTGAGGGGCTGAAAGGTAAAGTTGATAAGAGACTGATAAGAGACAAGGATTCAGAGCCCAGTTTGACTGCTATCCCATGAGATGAAATGATACTATGTATATCAACTGTAATTAGGACAAAAGGCAGCGACAGCGGGCCAGGCTTCCTTGGGCAGCTCCGGGCTGGGAATGTAGTGATGTGGTACACGCTGGGGAAAGAAAACATTCTACATCACTACAGTAGAGTTGACTGCACGGTTCTCTTTATGAAACAAATTTAAAGTACACGTTCTGGAAGCTGCTTCAAGATGTCGGTCCTCGAGAACAGGAAATGGATTTCCAGACTAATTTTATTTTCTCTGAGGTCACGCATTACTAGAATTGCAAGAGAGGGCTATGTACACAGGGTTTGGGGTTTGGTTTTTCTTTTTGGAGCTAATGGCGGAACCTAGGCCCGTGCCTGTGTTTGGCAAGCACCCTGCCACTGGTTTTTTTTTAGATTTGCCTTTAATTTTTTTTATGTGTTTAACTGTGTGCACAGTTTCTGTGGAGGCCATGAGAGGGTGCTGGAGCCCCTGGAACTGGAGTTTCAGATGGTTGTGGGGCACCATGTGGGTGCTGGGGATTGAACCCGGGTCCTTTGCAGGAGCAGCTGGTGCTCTTAGCCACTGAGCCATCTTTCCAGCCTCCTTGGCCCTTTTTTAAAACATATAATTTTTTTCTTCTTTAAAATTTGATTTTTGCTTTCAATTTGTGTGTGTGTGTTTGCGTGTGCTTGTGATATAAATGCATGGGGGTGTGGTGCGTGCATTCGGGCGTGTTCTCGGGGACCAGAGAGGAGGTCACGTGTCCCATCCTGTCACTTCATGTCTTATTTCCTCTGGACAGGGTCTTTCCCTGAATTTGGAGCTAGACTGGCACCCAGTCAGCCTCAGCAATCCTCCTGCCTCAACCTCCCAGGTTCTACGATTATAGGCAAGTGCCGCACCAGGTCTGGCTCTGTTCTCTTAACCGGTTATTATGTTATTGCTCTTCCTTCCTTCCTTCCTTCCTTCCTTCCTTCCTTCCTTCCTTCCTTCCCCCCTCCTTTCTTTCTTTCTTTCTTTCTTTCTTTCTTTCTTCCTTCCTTCCTTCCTTCCTTCCTTCTTTCTTTTTTCGAGACAGGGTTTCTCTGTAGCTTTGGAGCCTGTCCTGGAACTCCATCTGTAGACCAGGCTGGCTTCGAACTCACAGAGATCCGCCTGCCTCTGTCTCCCAAGTGCTGGGATTAAAGACATGTGCCACCACCGCCCGGCTCTATTATTGTTTTTAATGAAAGAAAGGTACCCTAGTATAGAAAAGCATCCGTGCAAAGTGGATGGATATAGTCACACTGCTGGTAGCAACTTATTGTGTGGGAAAAGGTGAGCATGGGTTATCTGGCTAGCATTATTCTACTCTGGCTTTTAACTTTTTAATTTATTTTTATTTTTAGACATGGTCTTGCTATGTAGCCCAAGTTG